CTCACGGTCCTCACACGTCAGAAAGGATGAGTACAACACTCATCATGGTCACTCACTCACCCTGTAACTCACTCACTCATCACGCAAACTCATTTGCTGTTGCAACAACACTATTTTTTCCTATTTTTTTATATATCTTCTTGTTTCGTCGCAATTCAAATGTCACACATGTGAAAGACACATGAGAGAATACATATATATAGACGCAGGTATGTACTAGGAACTCTGCAAGCGGGAGGATTATAATTAGTAAGAAACCAAAACGGGTCATATTGATATAGGATTATGTAGGAGTTTCGCCTTAAAATACCTCTTGAGGTAGGGGGGAGGGCGAGAGAGAGAGAGAGAGAGAGAGAGAGAGAGAGAGAGAGAGAGAGAGAGAGAGAGAGAGAGAGAGAGAGAGAGAGAGAGAGAGAGAGAGAGAGAGAGAGAGAGAGAGAGAGAGAGAGAGAGAGAGAGAGAGAGAGAGAGAGAGAGAGAGAGAGAGAGAGAGAGAGAGAGAGAGAGAGAGAGAGAGAGAGAGAAATAATGTCAAGACTTCTGTCTCGTAACTATTCCATCTGTTGTTGTTGTTGTTTCAGAATTAGCTATGTAGCACGGGCTATGGTGAACCCGTAATAACTATTCCATCCATTTCCTTCCCTTATCTACTCCCCTACTCCCTTCTCTCCCTTCCCCTCACTTCCTCTTCTACCTTCTTCCTCCTTCTCTTTGCCTGTACCTCTATTCATCTGTTTTTTTTTATCCCCCCCCCTTTTGCTATCGCCACATATCTTCTACTCTCTCTCTTACTATCTACCTCTACTCTGATGATATCTACCACTTCATTCATGCCATCTACTACTCCCCCCCCTCGTCCCATTTTCCCTTTCTTTGCCTCTAACTCTATGCACAAAAAATATATATTCGAAAATATTCGAAAAAAAATCTCCGGTATTGAAAAATCAAAATAAAATCCAAACTCCTTTTGAAAAAAAAAAAAAAATTCCTCAAAACGCCTGTATTAAATAAAAAAAAACACACACACATAAAACGCCTGTATGAGCCGGATAATTGGATTCCGAGACGTGGAAAAACACTGACTTATCCGGAGGGTTCGAGGGGGTTTTTCCGGATACGTGAGAACGGCCGTTCAACAATCCGGTTTACACTGTAATGACTAATTGGTGCTAATGGCGATTTAATTCCTCTGTGTTGATGTTTTTACCCGCAGGGGGGGCTGGGTCGGGAGGCTGGCAGGCAGGCAGGCAGGCAGGTTGGCAGGCAAGCAGGTTGGCAGGCAGGCAGGCAGGCAGGCAGGCAGGCAGGCAGGCAGGTTGGTAAACAGGCAGGCAGGCAGGCAGGTTGGTAGGCAAGCAGGCAGGCAGGCAGGCAGGTTGGTAGGCAGGCAGGCAGGCAGGCAGGCAGGTAGGTTGGCAGGCAAGCAGGCAAGCAGGCAGGCAGGCAGGCAGGCAGGCAGGCAGGCAGGTAGGTTGGCAGGCAAGCAGGCAAGCAGGCAGGCAGGGGGTGGCAGGCAGGCAGTTTGGTAGGCAGGCAGGTTGGTAGGCAGGCAGGCAGGCAGGCAGGCAGGCAGGCAGGCAGGCAGGTTGGTAGGCAGGCAGGTTGGTAGGTTGGTAGGTTGGTAGGTTGGCCGGTAGGCTGGCAGGTTGGTAGGTTGGCAGACTGGCAGGCAGGTTGGCAGGCAGGCAGGTTGGCAGGCAGGCTGGCAGGCAGGCAGGTAGGTAGGCAGGGAGGTAGGCAGGCAGGCAGACTGGCAGGCAGGTTGGCAGGCAGGCAGGCAGGCAGGCAGGCAAGTAGGTAGGAAAGCAGGCAGGCAGGCAGGCAGGCAGGCAGGCAGGCAGGCAGGCAAGTAGGTAGGAAAGCAGGCAGGCAGGCAGGCAGGCAGGCAGGCAGGCAGGCAGGCAGGCAAGTAGGTAGGAAAGCAGGCAGGCAGGCAGGCAGGCAGGCAGGCAAGTAGGTAGGAAAGCAGGCAGGCAGGCAGGCAGGCAAGTAGGTAGGAAAGCGGGCAGGCAGATAGTAGCTAGACAAGCAGGTAGGCAAGAAGGCAAACAAATAATCAGGCAGACAGACAGTCTGATAACCACACACACACACACACACCACACACACACACACACACACACACACACACACACACACACCCCACCCACACACACCACACACACACACACACACACACACACACACACACACACACACACACACACACACACACACACACACACACACACACACACACACACACACACACACACTATACGCAATCATACACATTGCATATCATAAGCTTCAAACTCTGGCAAAACAGAGCCCCTAAACCCCACCCCCCCACCCCCACCACCCAAAAAACCCCAGGACACCAAACCCCAACCCAAACAGAGCACCAACCAAAAAAAAAGAGCTCAAATAATCCCCCCCCCCCACCAAACTCCCACAGCGACAGAGCCCAACCACTTCCACCATAACTCGTTCCGAGTTCGGTTGACGAGACCTACTTTGCATGGGAGAGTGAACCAAGAGAGTGGGTGTGTCCCCTGATGACTGAGGGCTGGGGGGGGAGCGCGGGGGAGGGGGTTTGGGGGGGTTGAACCCCCCATATTAATTCATACACAAACATACACGAGCATACAATACATATATACATAAGCCAGAGATGAAAGGCCATCTTCTGGTTGGAATACATAATATATATATATATATATATATATATATATATATATATATATATATATATATATATATATATATATATATATATATATATATATATAGCCGGCGCTACGTACTTTCAAAGCCACTAACACGCATATAGCAATTCGGGCAGAGGCAAGTATAGGTAATAATATTGCTGATAGGTAAGTGTTGATAGGTTAGCACACACCCACACCCCACCCACACACCCCAGACACGCCCACACACACACCCCACCCACACACACCAGGCACGCCCACACCCCAGACACGCCCACACGCCCACACACACACACACACACACACCCCACCCACACCAACACCAACAAACAAACAGACAAACAGCTAATACCTTCCCTCTCTCCCAGTGTTTCATTTCAGAGTTTTAATTCAATTCAAAAAAGTTCCGGGAAATATTTCCACTAATTACTCCCCCTTATGTGATCAAACTTGACGATTTTCTATATCGCGAATATGTCCCTGCGAGACGACATACCATGGTCATTAGTAAGTCATATAAGCGACTATATGGGAGTATCTTATATCTCCGCTCCAGGCTGCCAAAAACGATGATCTGGGGCGGAGTAAGTTGCAAGAGAATGCTCCATTAGAGGTTCAGAGAAACACAAGGATTCTACATTGTTCACGTGTGTTCACAAGTGTTGCAACTACGGATACAGGGCCTGCACGAGCTCTTGAACTACATGAACTGACGAGTGTGTGTGTGTGTGTGTGTGAATGTTGGAGATGAGGAGACATGCTCACGACTTCAAAAATACTTCGGGGGTGTAGGGGCAGTGAGAAAGTGGACTAAAACAAGAATAGGGGGATAAATGAGATAGTTGATTATTATCTTCATACATGGACCTACTGCAACTACATTGGTGCTTTGAGGAAGTCAAATTATCATAAGAAACCTGGATCATACCTAAAGTGGGTTCAGGGAGTTCTTCTTCTCCCCAAGTCCGGCCTGAGGCCAGGCTCGACTTGTGATAACTTGGTTCAACAGGCTGTTGCTTGGAGCGGCCCGCAGGCCCACATATCCACTACAGCCTGGTTGGTCCGGCACTTCTTGCAAGAACTTGTCTAAGTGCCTCTTGAAGACATCCACCTTTGTTCCGGCAATATTTCTAATGCTTGCTGGGAGGGTGTTGAACAGCTGTGGACCTCTGATGTTCAGTGTTCTCTGATTGTGCCTATGGAACCTCTACTCTTCACTGGACCTCTGATGTTCAGTGTTCTCTGACTGTGTCTATGGAACCTCTACTCTTCACTGGACCTCTGATGTTCAGTGTTCTCTGATTGTGCCTATGGCACCTCTACTCTTCACTGGACCTCTGATGTTCAGTGTTCTCTGATTGTGCCTATGGCACCTCTACTCTTCACTGGTTCTATTCTGCATTTCCTTCCGTATCTTTCGCTCCAGTATGTTGTTATTCTACTGTGCACATTTGTGACCTGGCCCTCCAGTATCTTCCATGTATATATTATTTGATACCTATCTCGTCTACTTCCAGTGAGTACATTTGGAGAGCTTTGAGACGGTCCCAATAATTTAAGTGCTTTATCGCGTCTATGCGTGCCGTATATGTTCTCTGTATTCCCTCTATTTCAGCAATCTATCCTGCTCTGAAGGGGGAAGTGAGTACTGAGCAGTACTCAAGAAGGGGGAAGTGAGTACTGAGCAGTACTCAAGAAGGGGAAGTGAGTACTGAGCAGTACTCAAGACGGGACAAGACAAGTGACTTGAAGAGTACAACCATTGTGATGGGATCCCTGGATTTGTAAGTTCTCGTAATCCATCCTATCATTATTCTGGCTGAATATTGGCTTTATTATAGCCTTTAAACGTCAGGTCGTCAGACATCATTATTCCCAGATCCTATATATATATCATTCAC